TGGACTTGGTCTTTAAAGACCAGGTTTAAAGACCAGGTCCTAAAGTCCCGGATCTAAGGACTTTACCAACCCTAATCTGAGGTACGTATGACATATATATATCGCCCCAAATCAACTTGTACCAAATAATTTTTTTAAATACAAAAAGTAGAAAAAAAAAACCCAAATATTTTAATTAACTCCCGCTTTGATAATCTCAATTTGTTGCGGAGTAAGTTTAGAAAGTTGGTTAGCAGTGAACGATCTGATTTGATCAATCTTGCTTATCCCCCAATATCTCTAAATAAATTATAAATATTCTTCGCTTTTTGCGTTCTCTTTCTTAACGTTTCTTCAGAAACCGAAGGAAGATGTTTACGGATTTCCTTATAGACAGTCGTCTTTGCTGTCTTTAGAGCGACTCGACTATTGCTTAAAATTTGATTTACTTTTCTTTCAAACCCCTCTGCATATTGATACCAGCTTCTTATTTCTAATTGATTTCCCTCACTTGCACGTCTGACAGCACGGTTTGCATTAATATATAGCTGTACCAGGGGAGGTGCTTCTTCTATTCTATAATTATTGTAAATAGTTAATAAAGTTAATTTTTCATTTTGCATTACCCGCAATTTTTCTTTTTTTTTTTTTTTTTTAAAGTCCCAATTACGCTAATTAATTCTATTTTTGCTATTTAATTTTTTTCCATAAAACACTCCGGTATCACCCGATGGAGACCCTGGTATTCCGAAATTGTCCGATAGAACTGATAGAAAAAAACTGCTTGCCAACCCAAAATTTCTGATTTTGTGTTATGCAAAGCGTAAAATTAACTTTGCATGGCCTTAGATACATCATAAGACTATTCAATTTATAAGAGATTAAAAAAAAAAATCTGACCAACAGACTAGAAATTTTGAAACCCACGTAATGCAAACCAAAAAATTAACTTTGTGTGGCCTATAAAAACTCATTACTGCAATTTCTCAAAATAGCGGGCAGGGAGTTATTTCAAAAATCATGCCCCCTAAAAATAGCATAGGTGGTTTCAAATAACGCTCATGCACATCTTGAAATAGCGCGCACCTCGAAGAGCAAGTATCAGGTAAATATCAGAATATAAAACTCCTGATGTGCTAAATATAGCATATCAGTAGCATATCAGAAGTCTTGTATCCGATTATTTACCCGATACTTATTCATTCGACCTTTTTATAACAGTAACAATCAGATTGCAGAATTAATACTTTATCTCGAAATAACACCCATGGGCATATTCAAAATAACGCACATGATGCCTGCTATTTCGAGAATTTATGGTATTGCAGTATACAGATTTTTTTTTAATTCAATAAATTATTTTTATAACATAATCCTACCTAGTATCTGACACTTCATCAATATCCATCATTTGATCATCGCCCCTGAGTTCATTTATAATTCGCAATACTTTTTCTAACTTTTTATTTTTATCAGTGGTAGCAGTAGGTGGTGTGGTGGTGACAGCACCGGCAGCAGGCGGTGTAGAGATAGCAGTAGGTGGTGGTGCAGTGGTAGCAGACGGTGTGGTGGGCGCAGTAACGGGCGGCGTGGTTGCAGTGGCGGGCGGAGTGGTTGCAGCAGTGAGCGGCGAGGTGGCAGCAGGTGTGGTATTTGGTATAATGTGCGGCGTGGTATTTGGTATGGTGTGCGAAGTTGTGTGCAGCGTGATGTTCGGCACAATGTGTGGTGGCGTGGTAGATGGTGTGATGTTTGGTGATATCATGACAGTAGGTGTTGCAGTTACTGTAATTATTAGATGTATTTAATATAATATCTTAAAAATGAGGTGTCGTGAACGAAGTCACGAGGCATCATTTGTTACGAGATCACGTCCAGCCCCAAAATGATAGATGAACAGTAAGGGTCATTTCAGCGATTGATGTATTATATACAAATTTAGGGACAGCAGGCCTTTATTTAGTTTAGTAACTTTTGTATCATTTGATACATAAAATTCACTAAACTAAATAAAGGCTTGCTGTCCCTAAATTTGTATATAATAATACATGAACCGCTGAAATGGCCCCAAGTATGGTATGATTAATTGATTGTGTGATTGTTTGATTGAGTGATAGTAAGTATGAGATCATTAAAGAATGGCTATATAAAGAGTAAAGTAGAATTTTGTTTATTGTAAATACCGCCAGAGAGATGTTGGAGAAAAAGCAGGTGTTTTGTACTTGTTTGTGCCATGTTGTGTGATCGAGTAACAAATTATAATTGCATGATTATTAAAACTAGCTAACCTTGCATTTTATCATCGAATTCTGCCTGACAGAGCGGGCAACCATCAAGGTTATTCTTAATACATTCCTTGTAGAAAAAATGCTTGCAAGTTAGGATCGTTATTGATTTTTCAAGACCCGGGCAAATATTTTCATGGCAAATAATACATATAGTTGGCTGTTTATTCGTATTTGTAGAATTTGGTTTATATGAAATAATCTCGTATAAAAATAAGACTAACAGTTCCATTTTTTTCAAAGAAAGAACAGAAAAAAAGAGACCTATATTTATAATGGTTTTCTAACTTAAAAATTTATGCAAAAAGCAATATAATACTAATAAGAACAATGCCTTAAACTGGAAATTAATATTTTGCCCCTAAAAAATTATAATCGGCATTTTGATAATTGTCAAAATTAATAATAACATCAATCATAACTTTTTAGGACAAAATATTAACTTCCAGGTTTTCACTTCACACACTCATGTATACTACATACGTACGTTGTAAAAGTGAGAACTGATCCAGAATCGGGAAATATGGGCAGTACGAATATTAACTAACACTAAAACTAATCTAAACAATACTGACGAGGTTTGCTTCGGAATCACGGGTTTAGACTACTAACTTTATGCGAATTTGATTTTATCAGGGGGGTAATTGGAGCAAACTTTTAAAGTCAGAATACTAGACTCTCTATGAGTCGAACTCTAATGAGTTCTATAACTCTAACTGAGTTATCTTTTTTTGAAGCGAAATGATAGGTCTTAAATACTTTAAACCAATGCTGTGTACATAATAGCTGTGCTCATTGTTTAAACTACTTCTACTATATTCCCTATATAAAATATACTAATTTGTACGAATTTGAATAAAGATGAACAGCCACATATGAATTTGTATGAGAGAATTCATACAAAATTATATGATCAACTTCATTCAAAATTGAACGATCTATGAATTCATGCGAATAACTGTGCCATAACATATACCTGTAAATATGCATCTAATCTACTATTTACACAAAAAATTTATCTCAAGTCACGATTTTACCCTTTTACAACGTACATATGTAAAGTCTAGGAGTGGAATATATAGCCAGCATGATTATGCGTTAAATAAAAGAAATTTTTTTTAAGGAGATGCAATAAACATAAATTAGGTAGATGAAAACAATGTTTTGCATCTTTACTTATAGGATGCGAAAAAAAGTTCTTTATACATTTTTGTGGTTTAATTATTTTTATTTTAACTAATTATTCTATTTTAGGCTTTTCTTAAAATTCTCACCATTTTCACGTTTGATCAGATTGTTCCTTGTGGCTTCATACTAAATCAGCTGTTTCTTAATATTGAGGCTTCTAGGAGCTTGAACAGATAAGTTTCACTTTTATCCGTTTTGCTTTATTACCCTTATAATGCGAACTTATTTTAATTAATAAATTATTCTATTTTAGACATTTTTTTAAAAAATTTTCCCACGATTTTTGCTCATGATTTGAGCTCGGGCAGGTAAACTACACTTTAAAGATGTTAAGTGGTGCGTCTGGTCCGGTCCTGGTCCGTTCTATAAAAAGTTCAGTCCAGGACTATTTGAAACTAGTTTACCCTTGTTAAAAACAAGTCCTACAGTCATACCTGAGTTATATCCCCCCTTTTTTCTAGAGCAATTTTGGGGATATAATTAAGGTGGGGATATAACTT